GTACTTGTACATATGTGTGCCTATTATTTCTTTGCAATTACATAGTCAATATTTTGTGTTTATACAATTCAGCGTTTCGATAGAGTAAATTCACATTTGTAAAGGATTCATATACATACGTATACGTGCTTACTAGCAGTATCACGTATCAACATATCGTATTCGTAAGCAGGCACACGAATTTTTGTTATTTACGTTTGTGAAATTTCTTGGCAGAAAAACGAGTTCTTTCATGAAATGCTACAGCAGATTTTCTCTATCTTAAACAAGATATTAGTTTATTTACATTTATTTTTATATCAAAAACAGTATTGTAGAAATTTTTACGATTGACATTTCTTTCATGAGTATCTCTGTGCGTATTTTATTTTTGTTGATATTTGTAAGAGATATGAACATGATTGGTAAGTATATATATATGTACATATTTAAATTACGCGTCACATACGCATTCAACGCCACGTAAACTGTTCATATCATTCATTCATCTTCTGAGAACTAAATAAAAGAATTCAGGAAAAGACAGGAAACTTGCCTATGCGAGATGAAACGTGTTTTTCCACGAAATGAAAAGTACTTTAAAATATACTAAACATGATTTTATGAGAACCTTCAAGAGATTTCGATTATATTATGTGAAGTCTCCACCAAATCATCAAGCTCATAAAATATTGTAAAACTTTTACGCAAACATTACCGTTTTGGAAGTTTACAGTAATACTACATACATATGTATGTATCCTGAATATAAGAAGTTCGAACAATTCTTTGGCAATCTTTGTTTAACTCTTAAGAGCATATACTAGATACCTGGTTGCATGACAAATAATTTCCTTATTTAGACCTTGCCGACCAATTTTTTCGATTTAGTTACTACAAGAAGTATTGAATATTTAGTCTGAAATCGTATCGAACTTGCTAGGAAATCATGATGTGCACATAATGTACAGGACGATAGTAAAATGCAGGATAGGTAAGAAATACAATACGGTTATTCGTATCTTGAGATCATGTGAATGAAACATGATTATATATCTGAAAATATTTCTATCTTTATATTAAATATATGTACGCATGTATACATCATGGCGAGAGTGATTATTGATTTTATTAAACGACTCGAGCGACATCGGTTGTTTTAAGTAAAAATTGAGCTTATCCTCCCGTAAAATAGAGTTTGTGGCCCTGAAAAGGGCCATTGGTAATTATCGCATTAATCGCTGAATGAAGATTATTTCTTCGCAGTTGCTTTTGCTGCCTTTGATGATTGGGCAGTCTTTGGTTTCGGCGCCCTCGTTTTTGCAGCTGGCGCCTTAGTTGCTTTCTTAGTCTTCGACAAATTTTTCGGTTGCATTGCCTTCTGCTTTGGCAATTCAGCTTTCTTAGCTGGAGCGGTTTTCACTTCCTTAATCGCAGCAGCTTTCTTGATTACAGGCGAAGTCTTTTTGGTTGGTGCTGGTTTCTTTGGAGCTACTGTTTTCTTCTGGCTAGCTTTCTTCTCTACAGGCTTCTTCTCAACTGCAGGTTGTGGTCTCTTAACTATGCGTTTGGGTTTGCTCTTCACCTCGGAACCCTTAGTTGTAGTGGAAAGTTTGAAAGAACCAGATGCGCCCTTTCCTTTAGTCTGAACAACTGCACCAGACGTGACAGCAGTTTTCAGGTATCTCTTGACAAATGGCGCCACCTTCTCGCCGTCGATCTTGTACGTCGTCGCGATGTACTTCTTAATAGCTTGCAGCGACGATCCTTTCCGATCTTTCAGCTCTTTTATGGCGGCATTAACCATCTCCGAAGTTGGCGGATGCGAAGAACGTTGCTGATTCTTCGACTTCGTCTTCAAAGCCTTCTTAGCGGGCGACGCGTTGGACGACGCGTTTTCAGCCATCGAAGTTGTTCCAGAGCTGGTCTTCTCTTCCATCCTTGGATGCTAGTTTGTACACGATTACGAACACTGTACAGACCAAATTTTCCTCAGTTGTCCTCAGATGACGCTTCGTAGCCTCGATGAAAACGAAAGAGAGAATATTATCAACAGCACCAAGTGAGTTCGTTATATAGTATTGACGAAACTCCCCACTTTGTATCTCCGAGCCAATAGCGGTACGCTTCGTTTACATGCATACGCACCAAGCCCCCTGGCGACCTGTTTCAGCACTACGACGATCAGACAGTCAATACCGAGCACACAACATTCGATGCTAGGCTGCCAGGCAGCACTGAGCTTAGGAAGGTTCCGTGGTCGAGCCTGTTTGAATAATGTTCCATTGTAAGTATCTTCATCAATCTATATTTCGTTGCTCAAGGCCGGGTACTCACTTGTGCAACATCGGTCGCGCACAGCCAAAACGCGTACTCACTAGGCCTGTGCGCGGTTCGAACGACCCTTGATTTACGACATTTTCCCTTCCCTTTTCCCTCACAAACAGGTAGGAAACGTACGAATATATAAACTGATGCGTCCTCGGAATATTCACTATTTCTGAAGAGTTCGAACAGTGAACATCGAGACAAGACGAAATTGAGAATTATGGAATTTACCAACAAAACTGTGATTCATCTCATCGAGGCATACCGCGATAAGCCACAATTGGGGCAACCAACGCATGCCGATTATCATCTCAAAGTAAAAAAATTTGACGCTTGATGCAAAATTACAGAGGATTTCGGCTGTAGTATAGACGGAGTTTTTCACACTACCTGCTACCTCGGAGATAAGTACGGGGGATCGGTAGCCGAAACTGCCTGTTTACGCTCCCGGAAACATTGTCAAAGATCTAATACGTCTAATATGTCATTGTCTAATACGATAAAACTCATGAATTTTCCAATTGAGTTTATCAGATATATATTTTATGTTTGAGGACTGAGAACTTTCGATTCATTGTTGGCTGAATTTTTATGACTGGCCTTTTTCGGCACTGAAATGTCTCCAACCGATGAACACTTTCAATATCACTAGTATCCAATGTTTAACAACAATTGTCACACTCGTGCTCTAAGAAATTTGTTATTTTATCTTGGATATGAAGGAGGTATGAGCTTGAAAATATTGAAAAACAAAAGAATCAGCTCGAGAATGCGAGCATATTATGTACTTTTCTTCTATACTCCATGCTGCAATGTTGTATGCATAGTAAATTATACATATACATCATACAATACATACAAACGTTACCATAATTTAATACATGTACAGGCATTGCGCGTGGTTATCTCATTCCGATAGTTGTGCACTATCATCGCAGAATATTTTCAAATAACGAACTGGGAGACATTCCGAAGTACGTTTGGTTGAATGCACATCGACTGCGCACGAATGCGCAAGATATGCACGGTCAATACGCATTAGTCAGGCAAATTAAAAGGGAAAGAGAAGCTAAAGAAAGGGAAGGATATACGCGATTATCTAGAGTCTAGAATGCCATGATTTACAATGTAATTTTTTGGAATTGGGAGTTCAGTGTACAAAACCCTCATAATTATCTCATAAGTGATCAGTATCGAACATGGAGCATTTCAGCACCAGGCGGAAGGAGAAAAGATCAGTTTTCACTATTCAAGAGTTAAACAATATTTTTCTCCGATTTAATATTTAAGAACCAGAAAGAATAAACTCACAAATAATAAATATGTCTCGAAGTTATTATGGACAGCTTCCACGTAATCTTATATCGACCCGCGAAACCCTGAGCTACAAGTAATCACATGTACATGTTACTTGATAGTCATTCCAACGATATAAAAATCTTGTTGGCCCTGAAAAGGGCCGTTTGTATAAAGCTAAACAATGAAATGCGATACACAGCGTTTAACCACCAAAACCATAGAGGGTTCTGCCCTGGCGTTTCAGAGCGTAGACGACGTCCATTGCTGTTACGGTCTTTCTCTTAGCGTGTTCGGTGTACGTGACGGCGTCACGAATGACGTTCTCAAGGAACACTTTCAAAACACCTCTCGTTTCTTCGTAGATCAATCCAGATATACGCTTGACACCACCGCGACGAGCAAGACGACGGATAGCTGGTTTAGTTATTCCCTGGATGTTATCACGAAGGACTTTTCTATGACGCTTCGCTCCTCCTTTTCCCAATCCCTTTCCTCCCTTTCCACGACCAGTCATGATGAAACTCGATCAATACAATGACGAACTGTATCACAAGAATCGGAACAACCGAATGTGCCCTCCACTCGAAGTCGCGGACTATTTATGCCAGCGCAAGTGTCGTCGCCCCTCCATTGCGCCGTCATCCAATCAGATGCTTCCGAACTATACGACGATAGCTTAAAACTGGGGTATTCATAGTTAGGACCGTCATTTCTTATTTCACGATCGGAGTGTTCAGAGTTTAATTTTTCACTTGTACTTTATTACGTAAATCGGTAATGGCTCGTACAAAGCAAACTGCTCGTAAATCGACTGGTGGGAAAGCTCCACGTAAGCAGCTGGCTACAAAGGCTGCTCGTAAAAGTGCCCCTGCTACCGGAGGAGTAAAGAAACCTCATCGCTACAGGCCTGGAACTGTAGCTCTTCGAGAAATTCGACGCTATCAGAAAAGTACCGAATTACTGATCCGAAAACTTCCGTTTCAACGTCTGGTTCGTGAAATCGCTCAAGATTTCAAAACCGATCTGCGATTCCAGAGCTCTGCCGTCATGGCTCTACAAGAAGCCAGCGAAGCATATTTGGTTGGGCTTTTCGAAGACACCAATTTATGCGCTATCCATGCCAAGCGTGTTACTATCATGCCTAAAGATATCCAACTAGCACGTCGTATTCGAGGAGAAAGAGCTTAAGCTTATAACCCAACTGAATTTTTACAACCGGCCCTTTTCGGGGCCAAACTTCTTTCTACGGATGAACACTTTCATATCACTAATACGGAATAAAGC